CAGCTCCGCCTGCGGGTGTAAGTTAAACTCTCTCAGTGTAGGACGGAGCTCCCCTCGTCTACCCAGAGGTGGTTGGGGGGGGGATCAGTGTGGTGTAATTGGTGGGGTACAGGGCTCTAGTTACCCCTAGTTCTACATGAGGGTCACCTATAGAGTTCAGACATCCTGCCGGTACTGGACCAGTTCAGGACATCCCCTCCCCCGAGGGCCACCATGTGACGGATCTGCACTCACCCCTCGAAGACCTGCGCCGTCTGCTCCTGGTTGAGGATCAGGCACGTGTTATAATGTCTCAGGACGGCCACGATGCACAGGCACAGGCCCATGGTGTAACTGCCCACCAGGTTGGAGGACTTCAGGAGGAGCTCCGCTTCCACAACACTCAGTTCATTCAGCAGCTGGAGGGTCAAGAACACAAGACATGAAGAGTGACATAACCGAGGACACGCATGTGCAAGATGACCGAGCACGTCAACGATGGCCGAGCACCCGCAGGGTACAACGATGGCCGAGCACCCGCAGGGTACAACGATGGCCGAGCACCCGCAGGGGTACAACGATGGCCGAGCACCCGCAGGGGTACAACGATGGCCGAGCACCCGCAGGGGTACAACGATGGCCGAGCACCCGCAGGGGTACAACGATGGCCGAGCACCCGTAGGGGACAACGAGCACCTGCAGGGGGACAATGATGACCGAGCACCCGCAGGGTACAACGATGGCCGAGCACCCGCAGGGGTACAACGATGGCCAAGCAACCGTAGGGGGACAATGATGACCGAGCACCCGCAGGGGACAACGAGCACCTGCAGGAGGACAATGATCACCGAGCACCCGCAGGGGGACAATGATGACCGAGCACCCGCAGGGGGACAATGATGACCGAGCACCCGCACGTCAATGATCACCGAGCACCCGCAGGGGACAACGATGGCCGAGCACCCGCAGGGGTACAACGATGGCCAAGCAACCGTAGGGGGACAATGATGACCGAGCACCCGCACGTCAATGATCACCGAGCACCCGCAGGGGACAACGATGGCCGAGCACCCGCAGGGGTACAACGATGGCCAAGCAACCGTAGGGGGACAATGATGACCGAGCACCCGCACGTCAATGATCACCGAGCACCCGCAGGGGACAACGATGGCCGAGCACCCGCAGGGGTACAACGATGGCCAAGCAACCGTAGGGGGACAATGATGACCGAGCACCCGCACGTCAATGATCACCGAGCACCCGCAGGGGACAACGATGGCCGAGCACCCGCAGGGGTACAACGATGGCCAAGCAACCGTAGGGGGACAATGATGACCGAGCACCCGCACGTCAATGATCACCGAGCACCCGCAGGGGACAACGATGGCCGAGCACCCGCAGGGGTACAACGATGGCCAAGCAACCGTAGGGGGACAATGATGACCGAGCACCCGCACGTCAATGATCACCGAGCACCCGCAGGGGACAACGATGGCCGAGCACCCGCAGGGGTACAACGATGGCCAAGCAACCGTAGGGGGACAATGATGACCGAGCACCCGCACGTCAATGATCACCGAGCACCCGCAGGGGACAACGATGGCCGAGCACCCGCAGGGGTACAACGATGGCCAAGCAACCGTAGGGGGACAATGATGACCGAGCACCCGCACGTCAATGATCACCGAGCACCCGCAGGGGACAACGATGGCCGAGCACCCGCAGGGGTACAACGATGGCCAAGCAACCGTAGGGGGACAATGATGACCGAGCACCCGCACGTCAATGATCACCGAGCACCCGCAGGGGACAACGATGGCCGAGCACCCGCAGGGGTACAACGATGGCCAAGCAACCGTAGGGGGACAATGATGACCGAGCACCCGCACGTCAATGATCACCGAGCACCCGCAGGGGACAACGATGGCCGAGCACCCGCAGGGGTACAACGATGGCCAAGCAACCGTAGGGGGACAATGATGACCGAGCACCCGCACGTCAATGATCACCGAGCACCCGCAGGGGACAACGATGGCCGAGCACCCGCAGGGGTACAACGATGGCCAAGCAACCGTAGGGGGACAATGATGACCGAGCACCCGCACGTCAATGATCACCGAGCACCCGCAGGGGACAACGATGGCCGAGCACCCGCAGGGGTACAACGATGGCCAAGCAACCGTAGGGGGACAATGATGACCGAGCACCCGCACGTCAATGATCACCGAGCACCCGCAGGGGACAACGATGGCCGAGCACCCGCAGGGGTACAACGATGGCCAAGCAACCGTAGGGGGACAATGATGACCGAGCACCCGCACGTCAATGATCACCGAGCACCCGCAGGGGACAACGATGGCCGAGCACCCGCAGGGGTACAACGATGGCCAAGCAACCGTAGGGGGACAATGATGACCGAGCACCCGCACGTCAATGATCACCGAGCACCCGCAGGGGACAACGATGGCCGAGCACCCGCAGGGGTACAACGATGGCCAAGCAACCGTAGGGGGACAATGATGACCGAGCACCCGCACGTCAATGATCACCGAGCACCCGCAGGGGACAACGATGGCCGAGCACCCGCAGGGGTACAACGATGGCCAAGCAACCGTAGGGGGACAATGATGACCGAGCACCCGCACGTCAATGATCACCGAGCACCCGCAGGGGACAACGATGGCCGAGCACCCGCAGGGGTACAACGATGGCCAAGCAACCGTAGGGGGACAATGATGACCGAGCACCCGCACGTCAATGATCACCGAGCACCCGCAGGGGACAACGATGGCCGAGCACCCGCAGGGGTACAACGATGGCCAAGCAACCGTAGGGGGACAATGATGACCGAGCACCCGCAGGGGGACAATGATGACCGAGCACCCGCACGTCAATGATCACCGAGCACCCGCAGGGGACAACGAGCACCTGCAGGAGGACAATGATCACCGAGCACCCGCAGGGGGACAATGATCGCCGAGCACCCGCAGGGAACAACGATCACCGAGCACCCGCAGGGGGACAATGATCACCGAGCACCCGCAGGGAACAACGATCACCGAGCACCCGCAGGGGACAACAGCACCCGTACGGAACAACGATCACCGAGCACCCGCAAGAGGACAAAGATGGCCGAGCACCCGCAGGGGACAACATCACCCGTAGGGAACAACGATCACCGAGCACCCGCAGGAGGACAACGATCACCGAGCACCCGCAGGGGACAAAGATCGCCGAGCACCCCCAGGGGGACAATGATCACCGAGCACCCGCAGGGGACAATGATGGGCGAGCACCCGCAGGAGGACAACGATCACCGAGCACCCGCAGGGGACAACGATCACCGAGCACCCGCAGGGGACAATGATGGGCGAGCACCCGCAGGAGGACAACGATCACCGAGCACCCGCAGGGGACAATGATGGGCGAGCACCCGCAGGGGACAATGATGGGCGAGCACCCGCAGGGGACAACGATCACCGAGCACCCGCAGGGGACAATGATGGGCGAGCACCCGCAGGGGACAATGATCATCCGAGCACCCGCAGGGGACAACATCACCCGTAGGGAACAACGATCACCGAGCACCCGCAGGAGGACAACGATCACCGAGCACCCGCAGGGGACAATGATGGGCGAGCCCCCGCAGGGGACAATGATGGCCGAGCACCCGCAGGGGACAACGATCACCGAGCACCCGCAGGGGACAATGATGGGCGAGCACCCGCAGGGGACAATGATCACCGAGCGCCCGCAGGGGAACAATGATTGCCGAGCACCCGCAGGGGAACAATGATGGCCGAGCACCCGCAGGGGAACAATGATCACCGAGCACCCGCAGGGGACAATGATCACCGAGCGCCCGCAGGGGAACAATGATTGCCGAGCACCCGCAGGGGAACAATGATGGCCGAGCACCCGCAGGGGAACAATGATGGCCGAGCACCCGCAGGGGAACAATGATGGCCGAGCACCCGCAGGGGAACAATGATGGCCGAGCACCCGCAGGGGAACAATGATGGCCGAGCACCCGCAGGGGAACAATGATGGCCGAGCACCCGCAGGGGAACAATGATGGCCGAGCACCCGCAGGGGAACAATGATGGCCGAGCACCCGCAGGGGAACAATGATGGCCGAGCACCCGCAGGGGAACAATGATGGCCGAGCACCCGCAGGGGAACAATGATGGCCGAGCACCCGCAGGGGAACAATGATGGCCGAGCACCCGCAGGGGAACAATGATGGCCGAGCACCCGCAGGGGAACAATGATGGCCGAGCACCCGCAGGGGAACAATGATGGCCGAGCACCCGCAGGGGAACAATGATGGCCGAGCACCCGCAGGGGAACAATGATGGCCGAGCACCCGCAGGGGAACAATGATGGCCGAGCACCCGCAGGGGAACAATGATGGCCGAGCACCCGCAGGGGAACAATGATGGCCGAGCACCCGCAGGGGAACAATGATGGCCGAGCACCCGCAGGGGAACAATGATGGCCGAGCACCCGCAGGGGAACAATGATGGCCGAGCACCCGCAGGGGAACAATGATGGCCGAGCACCCGCAGGGGAACAATGATGGCCGAGCACCCGCAGGGGAACAATGATGGCCGAGCACCCGCAGGGGAACAATGATGGCCGAGCACCCGCAGGGGAACAATGATGGCCGAGCACCCGCAGGGGAACAATGATGGCCGAGCACCCGCAGGGGAACAATGATGGCCGAGCACCCGCAGGGGAACAATGATGGCCGAGCACCCGCAGGGGAACAATGATGGCCGAGCACCCGCAGGGGAACAATGATGGCCGAGCACCCGCAGGGGAACAATGATGGCCGAGCACCCGCAGGGGAACAATGATGGCCGAGCACCCGCAGGGGAACAATGATGGCCGAGCACCCGCAGGGGAACAATGATGGCCGAGCACCCGCAGGGGAACAATGATGGCCGAGCACCCGCAGGGGAACAATGATGGCCGAGCACCCGCAGGGGAACAATGATGGCCGAGCACCCGCAGGGGAACAATGATGGCCGAGCACCCGCAGGGGAACAATGATGGCCGAGCACCCGCAGGGGAACAATGATGGCCGAGCACCCGCAGGGGAACAATGATGGCCGAGCACCCGCAGGGGAACAATGATGGCCGAGCACCCGCAGGGGAACAATGATGGCCGAGCACCCGCAGGGGAACAATGATGGCCGAGCACCCGCAGGGGAACAATGATGGCCGAGCACCCGCAGGGGAACAATGATGGCCGAGCACCCGCAGGGGAACAATGATGGCCGAGCACCCGCAGGGGAACAATGATGGCCGAGCACCCGCAGGGGAACAATGATGGCCGAGCACCCGCAGGGGAACAATGATGGCCGAGCACCCGCAGGGGAACAATGATGGCCGAGCACCCGCAGGGGAACAATGATGGCCGAGCACCCGCAGGGGAACAATGATGGCCGAGCACCCGCAGGGGAACAATGATGGCCGAGCACCCGCAGGGGAACAATGATGGCCGAGCACCCGCAGGGGAACAATGATGGCCGAGCACCCGCAGGGGAACAATGATGGCCGAGCACCCGCAGGGGAACAATGATGGCCGAGCACCCGCAGGGGAACAATGATGGCCGAGCACCCGCAGGGGAACAATGATGGCCGAGCACCCGCAGGGGAACAATGATGGCCGAGCACCCGCAGGGGAACAATGATGGCCGAGCACCCGCAGGGGAACAATGATGGCCGAGCACCCGCAGGGGAACAATGATGGCCGAGCACCCGCAGGGGAACAATGATGGCCGAGCACCCGCAGGGGAACAATGATGGCCGAGCACCCGCAGGGGAACAATGATGGCCGAGCACCCGCAGGGGAACAATGATGGCCGAGCACCCGCAGGGGAACAATGATGGCCGAGCACCCGCAGGGGAACAATGATGGCCGAGCACCCGCAGGGGAACAATGATGGCCGAGCACCCGCAGGGGAACAATGATGGCCGAGCACCCGCAGGGGAACAATGATGGCCGAGCACCCGCAGGGGAACAATGATGGCCGAGCACCCGCAGGGGAACAATGATGGCCGAGCACCCGCAGGGGAACAATGATGGCCGAGCACCCGCAGGGGAACAATGATGGCCGAGCACCCGCAGGGGAACAATGATGGCCGAGCACCCGCAGGGGAACAATGATGGCCGAGCACCCGCAGGGGAACAATGATGGCCGAGCACCCGCAGGGGAACAATGATGGCCGAGCACCCGCAGGGGAACAATGATGGCCGAGCACCCGCAGGGGAACAATGATGGCCGAGCACCCGCAGGGGAACAATGATGGCCGAGCACCCGCAGGGGAACAATGATGGCCGAGCACCCGCAGGGGAACAATGATGGCCGAGCACCCGCAGGGGAACAATGATGGCCGAGCACCCGCAGGGGAACAATGATGGCCGAGCACCCGCAGGGGAACAATGATGGCCGAGCACCCGCAGGGGAACAATGATGGCCGAGCACCCGCAGGGGAACAATGATGGCCGAGCACCCGCAGGGGAACAATGATGGCCGAGCACCCGCAGGGGAACAATGATGGCCGAGCACCCGCAGGGGAACAATGATGGCCGAGCACCCGCAGGGGAACAATGATGGCCGAGCACCCGCAGGGGAACAATGATGGCCGAGCACCCGCAGGGGAACAATGATGGCCGAGCACCCGCAGGGGAACAATGATGGCCGAGCACCCGCAGGGGAACAATGATGGCCGAGCACCCGCAGGGGAACAATGATGGCCGAGCACCCGCAGGGGAACAATGATGGCCGAGCACCCGCAGGGGAACAATGATGGCCGAGCACCCGCAGGGGAACAATGATGGCCGAGCACCCGCAGGGGAACAATGATGGCCGAGCACCCGCAGGGGAACAATGATGGCCGAGCACCCGCAGGGGAACAATGATGGCCGAGCACCCGCAGGGGAACAATGATGGCCGAGCACCCGCAGGGGAACAATGATGGCCGAGCACCCGCAGGGGAACAATGATGGCCGAGCACCCGCAGGGGAACAATGATGGCCGAGCACCCGCAGGGGAACAATGATGGCCGAGCACCCGCAGGGGAACAATGATGGCCGAGCACCCGCAGGGGAACAATGATGGCCGAGCACCCGCAGGGGAACAATGATGGCCGAGCACCCGCAGGGGAACAATGATGGCCGAGCACCCGCAGGGGAACAATGATGGCCGAGCACCCGCAGGGGAACAATGATGGCCGAGCACCCGCAGGGGAACAATGATGGCCGAGCACCCGCAGGGGAACAATGATGGCCGAGCACCCGCAGGGGAACAATGATGGCCGAGCACCCGCAGGGGAACAATGATGGCCGAGCACCCGCAGGGGAACAATGATGGCCGAGCACCCGCAGGGGAACAATGATGGCCGAGCACCCGCAGGGGAACAATGATGGCCGAGCACCCGCAGGGGAACAATGATGGCCGAGCACCCGCAGGGGAACAATGATGGCCGAGCACCCGCAGGGGAACAATGATGGCCGAGCACCCGCAGGGGAACAATGATGGCCGAGCACCCGCAGGGGAACAATGATGGCCGAGCACCCGCAGGGGAACAATGATCACCGAGCCCCCGCAGGGGGACAATGATCACCGAGCACCCGCAGGGGGACAATGATGGGAGTTCTCACCTGGATGGCAAAGTCAATGAGGCCGCTGATATTGAGGGAATACTCCATGAGGTCGAAGATGAACTGCACGTGCTGCACCAGGGGGAGGTGGTAGGACAGGCCGAGGGCGAAGCTGGTGATCTGCTCCAAGACGTTCCTGGAAACCTGGAAGGAACAGAACTGTCCAATCACAATGTGATTTCTGTTAAAGGGGAACCCCGGGCACACATAGAAGACACAATGACGCCGCTCTGTGCGCAATAACATATCATTAAAGGGGCTTCACAAATACCGGAATGTCGCCTGCTATCAGCCTGTGTACAGCAGAGCTCAGACTGGGGGGGGAGAGAGAAGCAGCGCGGATGGGTGCATAGGATGGGGCACAGTGGTACGGCTGCGTGTCCCCCCGTCCTCCTCTTACCTGAGCTGTAACTTGGTGCTGATCGAAATGGGAGAGCTGCTGGAAACGGCTGAAGATTTCCTCGGCGGTGGGAAATGCCTCCGGCTTGGCCCTGCGTTTGCGTTGCCCTTCGTTGGATCCTGTGCAGAGAGTCGTTCATTCATCAACCCGCCTTCCACGCACGTCACCACCACCCTCACCCCCCCCCATCGCCCCCGCTTACCCGTCTCGGCCGTACTCTTACGGTTCAGCACCTTCAGGATGTCTCTGGTGATCTTCTTGATCACGTGACGAGCGTCGTCCCTCTGCCGGCCCACCCCGAACAGGACGACCAGGCGCTGGTTACACTCGTGGCTGCACGACTCCTCCTGGAGGGTGGAAGGGAAAACGTAAACGTGGGACAGGAAGTGACATGAAACAACGTCGCGCATCAACGTGCAGCCAACGGCATCTCAGTTTAGGGTGGAATGAGGACAGGTAAGGGTGATACTACAAACCCCATCATGCCATCTGCCTCTGGGAGTCACACCCTGTGGCTGTTAAGAGTCTTGCAATGCCTCATGGGAGTTGCAGTTTCACCCCAGCTGGGGGGGCGGAGTTTGGTTACCCTGATGTAGAATATAGGACTCTAGGAACTACAAAGGGTCTGCACATGGTTGAGGGGGGGACAGGCGGGGGGGGGGCAGCAATCCAGCGA